CCATCGCTATTAGGTTGGAGGCCATCGCTATTAGGTTGGAGGCCATCTCTATATTGGGTTGGAGGCCATCGCCATCAGGTTGGTGGCCATCGCTATTAGGTTGGAGGCCATCGCTATTAGGTTGGCGGCCATCGCTATCAGGTTGGAGGCCATCGCTAGTAGGTTGGTGGCCATCGCTATTAGGTTGGAGGCAATCGCTTCTAGGCTAGAGGCCATCGCTATTAGGTTGGTTGCCATCGCTATTAGGTTGGAGGCCATTGAAGCCTTCGCTATTACGTTGGAGGACATCGCTATTAGGTTTGTGGCATCGCTATTAGGTTGGTGGCCATCGCTATTAGGTTGGAGGCCATCGCTATTAGGTTGGAGGCCATTGCTATTAGGTTGGTGGCCATCGCTATTAGGTTGGTGGCCATCGTTATTAGGTTGGAGGGCACCGCTATTAGGTTGGAGGCAATCGCTACTAGGTTGGAGGCCATCACTATTAGGTTGGAAGCCGTCGCTATTAGGTTGGAGGCCATCGCTATTTGGTTGGAGGCCATCGCGATTAGGTTGGAGGCCATCGCTATTAGGTTGGAGGCCATCGCTATTAGGTGGGAGGCCATCGTTTTTTTAGGTTGGAGGCCATCGCTATTAGGTTGGTGGCCAGCGCTGTTAGTAAGAAATATTCACACGAAGCAAATGCTTTGGGAACCGAGTCGCCGAATGCCGAAATGGCTCAAGACGGGACCCGAGGGACCGCTGTGGACTCCGTGGACTTCAGAGATTCCCAGGAGCTCTGTCAACGCAGGCTGCAACTCGGTCAGGAGCTGCTCCTATCGTCAGATGGTTTGACACACTTTGGTTCTTCGTTCCTGGAAGACTCAGAAAGGCCCTAGTAGCGTCCTTGCTCCTAGTGGCGATGCCAGGAGCCCCTAGTAGCTTCTTGATCCTAGTAGTACGGGCAGGAGCCCCTAGTACCTAGTAGCGTCCTTGCTCCTAGGACCCCTAGTAGCGTCCTTGCTCCTAGTAGCGATGCCAGGAGCCCCTACTACCTCTTGCTCCGAGTAGTAAGGCCAGGAGCCCCTAGTAGCGTCCTTGCTCCTAGTAGGGATGCCAGGAGCCCCTAGTAGCTTCTTGCTTGTAGTAGTACGGCCAGGAGCTACTATAGTAGCGTCCTTAGTAGCGATGCCAGGAGCCCCTAGTAGCTTCTTGATCCTAGTAGTA